GCCTCGGCAGATTTTTACTCTCCACCGGGAATGGAATTGGACATTGCAAATGCCTCCAAAGCAACCGTGAAACCGTTAAGGGGCGGCTCAGATTCCCGTCGATTGAAAAATGTCGCAGTTTCGCAGCTGCCGATACCAACCACAGCAGAGACTGCGATCGATGCCAGGGGAACACTTTAGCCAATCATGAGATATATCACTGCTTGGAAGAGGAAAAGCAAGCTTACGGACATGATGGAGACAAAAAAAGGTCCCTTTGATACTAAAAAAAAATTATTACCCTACATAGTTTTTATACAGGGTATCCAAATAGTGTATGTAGTGCTCAATATATTTGTTGTTTAGAGTTGCAGAAGAATATAAAGGTTGTAGGCAGAGCTAAGGGCTACAACCTATTTTTAGCTATACAGCGTATCCCATAAATTAGTAGGCAATATAAACTTATATTTTTTTAAATGGGATACCCTGTATTTATTTTGATTTTTAGAAGCGCCTCTTCTTGGCCATTCTGCCAATATATAGTTTCGGGAGTTTGTACTGGGTATTTCGGAATATATTGCCAGTTTTTCGTTAACATCATTGTACATTCGACTTGCCGTACCTCAAACACACTTTAGATAAAATCTGTTTTATTATGCTGAGTGATGGAAACAGTGGTAGACATTCATATGCAATGTTCTTTATGTACGAGCCCCTTCCCACTTCAGTTGGCCCCACTATTGAAACCTTAGTTTTTTTCTTATCAAATAATAAAAATGTAGCAGTGTGTTATAGGTTTAAAATATTAACAATGAATATTTTGATAAAATATAGTAGAAAACATCAACTTTATCACTCCCTAATCAAATTTGCAGCATAAAAATAACACATGTTGCAATTACAGCATATCAAACTATTTTCATGTCAATGCAAAATAAGTCTATAACGCATAGGTGGCTGTGAAAAATAAAAGCCATGACAATTGTTTTTATTAATCACAGCTGTCAGAATACGTTTAAAATAGTTTTGGGTAGTTAAGGTTTTCAAAATGGGTAGAGGAAAGGTTATTAGTGAGAAAATTCGGTTACTGATAATTTAATTTTTTAATTCTGGGAACAGTGTGAGAAATATTGTTAGAAGATATAACGTAACTGGTTCAGTTAATATTAGGCCACGATATGGGAAAAAAAGTAATATCACAAATGCCGACCGAAGAGCATTAAGAAGAATAACCGTGAAAAACAGGCGTGCCAATTATTTACAATTAAGTGCTCTGTGGAGTGACGCTGTTGGAAAGAGAATTTCGAGGTCCACAACTCATAGAGAGGCCCACAAACTGGGATTTAGCACTTGCAAGGTAAGTTTTCTTATAAAAAAGTGAAGTAAAAACCCTAAAGTTGCACAACTGGTTTATAGGCCAAAAAAAAGCCACTATTAACTCCACTGCAAAAGAAAAATCGGCTTAGATGGGCTAAAGAACATAGACAATGGACACCTCAATAATGGTGTGCAATACAATGGAGTGATGAGGCCCGATTCGAAGTTTGTGTTGGTGACAGTCGCAGTAGAGTTACTCGCCAAAAAATTAAGCATTCCATGTTGACTGTCTGAAGAGAAAATTGAAATTTCCAGCATCCATTATGGTCTGGGGCAGTATGTCATCAAAAGGAGTAGGAAAAGTTCATTTTATTGATGGAAATGTGGATACAAACAAATATTTGGCAATTTTAGAAGAATCGCTTTTACCAGTGATGGAAGAATGTTTGACATCCGGCCAAGATTTTGTGTTTCAGTAAGATGGTGCAGCGTGCCATACCTCAAAAAAGGCTATAAAATGGTTGGAAGAAAATAATGTACCACTTTTGAAATGGGTTTCTAGCAGTCCAGATCTGTCACCTATTGACACTTTGTGGCACGAGATGAAAAAGGTTCTACGATAACATCCTGCTCGTACAATCACCGAACTGAGACAAAAGCTTCAAGAAATATGGGATTGTTTTACTCAAATTTTTGCCAAAACTTGGTTAACACTATGCCCCAAAGAATTTCAGCCGTAATAAAAAATAAAGGTGATGTTACCCAATGGTAATCTTTCAGTTGTTGCTTTGTTAACTTCGCGCATTTATTCGCACATTGTTTATTTGTCTCACCCGAGGCATACAGGGTGAGTCAAAACGGAAAGATACAATTTTTTCAAAAAATTTAAATGTAATATCCTGTATGTCATTTCAATATTATTAAGCATTCCCTATATCTAAACCTAGTATTTTTTGAGATACTCTATGTTTTATAAGTGAAAATCATAATAATATTGGAATTATTAGAAACATATAGGTTCGTCACGCGTTTTTGACAAACATGTCATCTTAAGCGACGTTTTGTGGCTGGGTACAAGAAAAAATCCGTAACCATGAACATTTTTTTGAAAATGTTCTGTTTGCCGAAGAATCAACATTCCATAAAAATTGATGTGTCAACAGGCACAATTTCCACCATTATGACAGCCATCAGCCCTATGCAATGTTAACGCGCAGCCAGGAAAGATAGTCAGTAAACGTCTGGGGTGGCATAATTGGCAATTTTGTTATAGCGACACATTTGTTCGATCCTACATTAAACGGACAAGTTTATCAGGATTTTTTGGAAAACATTTTACCACTTCTACTAACATTAGCAGAACGTGTAAGGGAAAGAATGTGGATTCTTCATGATGGAGCTCCTGCACATCACACACAAACCATTAATAATTATTTAAATACTGAATTTCCTCAGAGGTGGATAGGATAAGCAGGGCCAGTCAAATGGCCACGCAGCTGTCCCGAACAATGACTTTCTTCTGGGGTTACGTTAATTGAAGAAGAGGTATATAAGACTCCATCTACGACAACAGCTAATATGTAAGATAGGATACCGGAAATTTTTCAGGGCATTAACCACCAAATGTTAAGAAATGTTGCCGAATCATTTGAACGCCTGTACGGCTGCTAGAGGAGTCACACGGTGGCTTAGAACACCAAAAAGCTAACAAACCTTTCAATTTCTATGTAATTTAAACAATTTTCAGCACAACAGGGATTTTTGGCCCGTTGATTTCGAATCTGAGGTTATTTTGCGCAATTTGAAGGTCAATTAAGGTCATATCAAGGACACTTCCAATAGAAGCCGATCAGTTGAGCCCAGCCGCGCCATATCAGAGGTCAATTAGTCACTATGAGGGCAATTTAAGGTCATTTAAAGGTTATTTCAAGGACAAGTCTAGGACTCGAGTTCAAACGCACGTAATATAGGTTTTCGACGGTCGTTAAAAACACATGAGACATCGCTTTGCCTCTAGGAAGGCATTTGAAGGGTATTTTAAGGCAACTCAAAGTATACATTCAAAAAAGTTTAATAACCGTTTCCGACCACCTGATATAAAATGGCAGTATATAAGGTTATATTTCTCAATTGTTTGCAAAAGTTGCCGAAACTGACACTGGAAATTATCTGTCAGTACATCATTTATTTCAATTAAGGCAAAGGGCAGAACCTTATTACAAACCGCTTTGAATAATACTAATATAAAGAAATGTATGTGTTATTAACTTTAAAATATGTAATAATTTTCGTTCACTTTCGAGTCTTCGTATTTCAGACTTTCGCATAGATAGACCACTGTGCGAGTTACCAATGGTCTATCTCCCACGAGTTCCGTCGTCTCCCCACTGAACTTCTCCCAACAACCTTGCCCCTTGGTATAGTTCAGTATTTAATTTTGTAATAGTAAAAATTCAGCAGACTGGAGGACGGCAACCCTAGTTTACGAACCATGGGTTACTGGAGTAGGTAGGGAGAATTTAACTGACGGATATCGCATTGTGCTTCGGACACATCATGTACAGGATGGTCCAGAGAATTATTATGTCCTGTATGTAATGGATACGAAACGGATAGAAAGAGAAACAAGTATAATACATAAGGCGAGAGAGAGGGGGAGAGAAACTTGTTGGTAATCATCGGTGGTGAATGTCACTCACACAACCCGGCCAATGATTCGACTCCAACTTAGTAGTTAAAACATGTCCTAAGTTGAATTTTTGAAATTAGTTAAAATAAATTGAATGTTTCTTTCCACTTTCGAAATAAAAATAATATGATTATTTGCTACTCGGCATTTCTATGGATATACACCTATTGGTTTATGCCGTTTTTAGAAATCGTTGTCAGAAAACAATAACAAAATCACTAAGCTTGTATGTATTGAATTTAGTCATTTTTTGAATGTAGTAGTACAAAATTCTTACCACAAAGTGACCACATTTTTTAAAACGTCCATAAATTTTTTACCATTTCCTAGATTTCGTACTAGAAAACAATTAAAGTGAGTATCAGAACCTAAGACTTGGAATGTACTTCAGTATATCGACGGTGAGCTGGCAATACCTCCTATCTGATTTTTTTGCCAAAATGAGATTTTTGTGACTTCCTATCGCAATCTATGCTAGGCATGTCTCGTAAGCGCAGTTTTCAGCATAGAACAACAGTTTAGCGCGATATTTAGTCTTGAAATTTGTCCCACCTAAATGGTCTAGGAAAAAAGGATTGCAATACCTCCTATGACGCAGTTATGAATGGGTGATGATACGGTTCACGTCGTGACTTGTATACCAGCCGTCTATTCACTGATTCATTATCATCACAAGGTAGGTTTTATTGTTGCTTATGAAACTATAACTAAAACGAAGTATTTTGTGACTATATGCTATAAGATTACCCTTTTATTAAATGGTTGAGTGACGTTACTTGTGTATTGTTCTAGTGGGAGATTTTACTTGGTGCGAAAATTTGGCAGGAATACGTAAAGGACGCTAATAGGAGATATTGCCATGACTTCCCGAGGAAGAAAAATATTGGCCTTAGTCAATCAGGAACATGAAAATAGAAATTTTGAAGTTAGTCTTGAAAATATGGATACAAGTCTTAATAAAGCAGATTAAGATCCAAACGAGCACGTGTTTGACATCGAAAATATTCCGATTATAATGCCGTCTGACTTAATAGATGGAAATGTACTATCTCTAGATTTTGAAAACTGCTTGAGCAGCCCAAGTGATGACATCCCGATTTTTGAAGATTCAGAAAGAATGTTCTTCCAAGCTTGCCGCGGAAGTCAAGATTCTTTAGCATCCAGTAATCAAAGTGTCTGTATGGATATAACCGAGGATATACCCCAAAACTCAGATATCCAAGAAATGAATGTTATCAACTTCGATGTACCAGATGTCAACTGCCGTCAAAATGTCTGTCCATCTGTTTACATCAATACGAACTATAAGCTCAGTACAGCTTGCTCAGAGAATCAAAGCATCCTCAAAGGTAATTTCAGACGCATCGTTTGCTGTTTTGTGTTCTAGTTGAAATGCAACTATTAAAGTAAAACTTTTCCTTGACATTGGCATGTCGCCGAGTGTCAAAATTTCAGTTTAATTATATTATTTGTTTTTGAATTATGAGTTTCATCTTTCTATAAAACTGATTAATTACAAACAGAACTCTAAGTGCGCTTTGGGTTATTTCAGCTTTATAACAGTTTTTTGTGAAGCTTTTCATATCTCGGTAACTGACGCTTACGGTTAAGGTCCATGAGCTTGATGCCCTTTTTTCCAATTTTCTAGGTGGTGTCAGTCTGGTGCCATATGAAATAGAAAGCGATGAGCTCAGTGATTCTCCACATGCTGAACCAGTAAATGAAGATGTGTTGAAAGATAGAAATGAAATTGATTATAGTAATTCTGAACCAGGAGAACTAGCCAAAGATCGTTTACTATCAGATATTGAGAAGATGAACGAGACCAGAAAAAGAAAGAAGATAGCAGATCCAGCTGAATGGAAACGTTTGAAAAATAAGCAACTTAGAATGGAAGGTAAAGAATACTTGGGTTATAGGAAAAAGAAAGGCGAAAAAATAGTACACGATACAATCAGAAGAGAAAGAGAGATGGGAATGGCTTGTAACTCAGCAAGATGTAACAAGAGCAAAAATAAGAACTGTTTCAAGTTCAAAGAGGAAACCAGAAAAAATATATTCAAAAAATTCTGGAATGAAATGAACTGGGCACAAAGAAAAGTGGTTATATCCTCAAATGTCTTTAAAGGAAAAAAGGCTAGAGGTGAAGAAACATCAAGAAGACAAAGTACCTATACATATTTTTTAAACAATGGGGAAGAACAGCTTCAAGTATGTAGGAAAATGTTTGTCAATACATTAGATATAGGATATAAGACAATTCAAGAGTGGGTTTCTAAGAGTTCTTATGGCATGGGCACAGATATAGTACAAAAAGATAGATAGAGCTATAATAAAGCACGATACTCCAAGCAATATCGTCGCTGATCTGACAAATGGGCGTAAGCGACACAATCTCTAAATAGGAGATAAACCACTGAGAAACTCTCGAGGGGTATACCTATGTTCTGACAAATGAACGTATCTCCATCGCTCATACCAGGGAGTATACATCATAGTCAGTAAGGACGGAATCGACATCAATGGAAGATAGGGAATCTGGCTAAGAGGCGTAAATCCATAAATGGACATACGCCTGTTCGTCACATCATCTATTGCGCTTTAGTGTCGCTTTCACCCGTAGTATGTAACTGTGATAACCATAGCCACCTATATCTAACGTAGTTCTAGGTGGCTTTGGTGATAACCGATACTGTTGCGCCATCTCCTGAATGTTTACGGGTTTTATAGAACGTCTAGGTATCCCCAGTTATCCTAACAGAAACAAAAAGCCTTCAGTTACAGAGGGAGTTCGTTGCGCGTCATGTTACAGCTCACAATATTAAAAGGAAGCGAACAAGCAACATTGTTTCACATAGAACAAGAACATTTACTTATCGTCTTTCGAATGCAAATACATCAACAACTGTTTGTAAAACTACGTTTCTAAACACGCTCGGAATTTCTTAAAAAACCATGCGGACGGCGCTAAATAAATTAAATGATGAAGGGATAGTACGTCCTGATGCACGTGGTGGTCGACACGCCAGTTTGCGTGAAAAAGATAGCGCTACTCGGTCTGCTGTATTAGCCCATATTCAACTATTTCCTCGGATGGAATCCCACTTTTGCAGACAGTCCACCACCATGTAGTATTTGCACCCAGATCTGACTATTAAGAAAATGTATTATTTTTACGTGCAAGAGGGACGTCAGCCACAGTGTAGTTATCACACCTATCGAAGGGTATTCAAGTCATTGAATCTTTCTTTCCATCACCCAAAGAAAGACCAGTGTAGCCTTTGTTCGTCCTATACAGAAGGCAGCACGGAAACGAAGGCCAAACTCGAAGATTCTTTTGCTGCACACATTGCAGAGAAGGACTCTGTGCGAAAGAAGAAAAAAGATGCTAAAGAATCATCACAAGAAAACCCTGAAGTAATAGCTAGTGCTGTATTCGAGCTGCAACAGGTAATTTCGCTTCCAAGAAGCAATGAAAGTGGAATTTTTTATAGCCGTCGTCTATCAGTATTCAACTTTACGATTTACAACCTAGGAAATAAAAACTGCTTGTGTTATCTTTGGAACGAAATTAATAGTAAACGAGGGTTCAACGAAATATCAACATGCGTGGCAAACTACCTTATTCAGCTGGATACCCAGGGAATAAAAGAAGTGAGACTATTTGCAGATGGTTGTGGTGGCCAAAATAAGAACACGATTGTTTTACCCATGTTGCTGCACACCATAACCAATACCAAAAACATTAAAAAAATATCATTATCTTTCTTCGAAACAAATCACGGCCAAAGCGAGGGCGACTCTGCCCACAGTTCTATTTCGACAGCTTTAGCATTAGCAGGAGATGTCTTTATTCCTGCTCAGCTTCCTCCTATTCTTAAATTGGCAAGACGGAATTCTCCATACACTGTCATCCCTATGGATAATGCTGAATTTCTGGATTACAAGTTTGTGGCTGAACAACTCCGCATTTGACAACTGAGAAAATTTGACACGGGGGAAAATGTTAATTTCACCGCAATCAAGGAAGTAATGGTAAAGAAAGATGTTCCACAACTGTTTCTAAAAGCCAGCCATCTTGCTGATCAGTATAACACATTATCTCTGAAAAGAAACACTCTTGAAGTCCTGAAACAGCCGGTACGTAGACTTAATAATGGTCCAATTAAATTAGACAGCCTAAAATACGAAAACCTTGTTGAGCTATGTACTGGACCTACACCCACAGTGCGAGATCTAACGTTTCAACAATACTTCAAGAACCCTCCGCATCATTAAACACCTCAGTTTTTTATAATTTGCATACATCCTCTGTTTAATTTCTATATTTTGAAGTTTTCTTTGTTTAAATAAAAATGTCGTTAATGATAGGAACCGTTGTGTATGTTTAAAATTACTAATGAAAAAGGGCGTAAGTGACATACCTCTGTAAAGTAACTCTGACGAACGGGCGTATGTCTAAAGTGGCCATTTTGTAGGACAATATCGTGCGAGCTTTGCAATCACGTTATGACAGATTGAAAGTGTCCCTGATGATTCACTTTGATACAAAATTGTAAAAAAATATCGTTGCTAGTTACAGAATCATCAACTCATCTAAGATACATATTTTCCTAAAATCGCTCTACTGTAAAATTATGTTATTGGCGCTTACGTCCATTTGTCAGAACAGCGACGATATGACCATTTAAGGATGTTTTTAAATAAACTACCAAAATTGCCAGCCCACTATTGTAGAAAGGAGACTACAAAATTATACCTAGAGGAAACGTTCCATACAATGAGCGATCTTTACAAAGTATATGAAGACTTTTGCAACGGAAATGGGGAAATAGAAGATATGAAGCCACTTAACCGAAAAATATTCAGAAAAACATTTAACGAAAAAAATCTTTCACTGTTCCAGCCTAAAAAGGACCAATGCAATGTTTGTTTTTCATATAAGTATAATAACACTGATGAAGAAAAATATAGAATTCACATTGCAAACAAAAATAGAGCAAGGCAGGAGAAGGCAAAGGATAAAGATCTGGCAGAGAACGGCTCATGTATTGTGTTGAGCATGGACTTACAAGCTGTCAAATTATCACCTTGTCTCCCTGCAAACAAAACCTATTTCAAGACAAAGCTGTGCTGCCACAACTTCACCATCTACAATCTTGCTAGTAAAGATGTGACGTGTTATTGGTTTTCTGAAGACCAAAATAACCAATTGGTTGCATCCACATTCACATCATGCATCATTGACTTCCTGGAAAATAAATGCCTAACCTCGTCTAAATTGCCCATAATTTATTCCGACGGATGTGGCTTTCAAAATAGAAATAACGTATTGTCAAATGCATTGCTCAATTTTTCCGCTAAACATCAGGTGAAAATTTACCAGAAATACTTGGAACCGGGTCACACTCAAATGGAATGTGACTCGGTTCATAGCTTGATTGAAAGAAAGCTGAAAAATAGGGAAATACATCTTCCAAGTGACTACGCCAAAGTTACAAAGGACAGCTTTTTTAAAAACTATGCTGAAAGCAAGTTCTTACGATATACGTCTATCAGGCCGGGAAAAAAAGCATTTGATCCTGTCATTTTAGACATAAAATGCATCAAATATGAATATGAACCATATCCAGCTATTCAAGTGAAGTTATCTTATGACGAACCATTTCAAGACATACCTGTCAGGCCCAAAAATGTGCCTATCATTGAGGACTACCCTCAACTGTTAAAAGATCATTGCAAAATTAAGAAAGAAAAATGGGATCATCTCCAAGACCTCAAATCGGTTCTACCAAAGGATACACATGGATTTTATGACAACTTGGTGTATCAGTGAGAAGTGTCTGTCAATACTGTAGGTATTGCGACTCGACGAAGATAACTTTGTTTGCTTTTATGCGTTTACTACTATAATTATATCATTAAAGTTTGAGATGAATGACTGTTGTTTCTCATTGAATACATCCTATCTAGTTATAAAAATTCATGCAAAATATCCTATTTGAAAAAACTTATATTTGATATTATCCTATCTACAATTCAAAAGTACTTGGTAAATATTCTAGATGTAATTGTGGAAAATTTGATTCCAATTGACTCTATTAATATAAATGTAAGAAAGAAATGTAGTGAGCTATATTTATTTTGGCTTGTATATCGTTTTTCTATCGTCCTGTAAAATTCCCAAATTTTAGTTAGGAGATAATGCCAGCTCACCGTCGATATTATGATGGCCCAATTTACGATCTAAAATAATACGGCACACACCCTGTGACCCTTTTTCAATTCTGTGTTACCATACACATCATGAGGCAGTGGCAAAAAGCTAGCAAGACAACATATTAAATCAACAGAAATTTGTGACCTATGCTGTCCTCATAAAGTAAACTTTCCTAATCGAAATCAATTAAAATATCTACATTTAGGATTGTTTTATTTATGATTATTGCATTTAAAAAAACATAGAGTAAAGTCATATCAAGAATCTTTAGTTTTGTAGGTTTTTGTTTTCTCAATATTCATCTACATGCGCTATAACACGACATTTTTCTTAATCTCCGATTAAGCGCCGTTTCCACTTAAGAATCAAGATACTTGGCTGCAACTGTTCGCCATTTGCTGATGCGCGTTGAAAAATAAGTCGTCGTTAAATACTCTGTTTTTGTGTTGGGCACAAAGAATGAGAAAACGTGTTTTTTGGGATTCAATCGAAATTGCTGACAAACGAAAAAACTTTTCATATAACAGTTTTAGATATTTATGAGACCTACAAAATGAGACCACACGTAAAAAGATCCGACTAATATCAAAAATGTTATGACCGAAAAACGAGGCAATATGCAGGTTTTGGCACTTGCTGGTAAAGATGGTTTCTCGCAGATACTTGAAATTTTTCAAATTCGTAGGATTCGTACTTCTAAATAATCACAACAAAATTGGAGTGGATTGGTCAAACCATGGGTATTTTCATGTAATATGATTAGACTATTAACCGATACATATTCCTCATACTAATACCAGATACAAACTCAGGGTACTCTGATATTCCGGCGCAGGAATTTTGCAAGCGACACGTAACGGTAAACCGGACTCGTCCTATCTGCTAACAGAATTCACATTCCTTAGCCAGAGATGACGCTCCAGCAGGCAGCTATCCAACCTCGGTTAGCAGCAATGGTAGCGGTTTGAGGTATATACACAGGAATTATACGTATGTAACAAGACGGGGTAAAACAATTTTAGTTCTCACTCTCACTGCATTGGGACAAACATTCTTTGTAAGGGTTGAAAATTGGGGTGCCGGGGTATGATCACAATCTGTCAGC